TGGTGTGTTTGCTCATGTATTAATCATAAATGACCCTCTGTGGTCAAGTGAGACACCTTAGCGATCACTCATGTGTGATGGCAACAAAGAAGAAGGTCAGATTATATTTTAGAGCCACAAAATCCACACCAGGAGGAGGCTGGGGTGGATGGAAGGGTTTAACAAACATAGGACTCTAACAGGAGAAACCATTGTTGTTGTTTTCCTGCTTTTTTTCTTTTAAGGTGTGGAAAAAGGTGGAGGTGAAAGGGTTGCTGTTTTTTTTTAAAACCCCGAGATACTGAAACCAGTTTCACATGACTGAGGTTTCCCAGAATTGGAAGGTCTCTGGTCTCACAGTTCCTCTTCAGTTAATTACTCACCTACAGTATGTGGTCAGGCCCACATGTGTTTGACCCTATTTTTGCATATTGTCCTCTGTGCAGCAACACAGTGGGTTTTTAAAGTGGGTTTTAAGTGGGTTCAGACTTTCAGATAGTGCAGACTTCCAGCTTTAATTCAAGGGATTTAACTAAAGTACTGCAATCACTGTTTAGGAGTTACTGCGAAATAACATATTGTATTAAATAATACAATATGTTTACAGAGTCTCAATTAAGGAAATAGCACTAATATATACAAATGGCTCAATTATAAAAATCAATAATACTACGGAGGTGAGAATACCATGATTAACTGACAAGCAGTTTCAGGGCCAGGTGATGCCTGTTTCCTTGTTATTCCATTACAAATGATGATAAAACTCACTAGTGTTATTGACGGTGTGACTGCTGACAGGTGTAGCAGGATTAATTGTGTCGTGTACTGGGCTATGCTCTCTGCTCAGATTCAGCAAAACTCTGCAGAAGTGATCAGAAAGAGTTTCAAAATGCAAACATATGATGACCCAAAGCACACTGCAAAAACAACAACTCAAGACTTTCTCAAGGCAGAGAAAAGAGATGGTCTTCAACGGCCAAGTTAGTCAACTGTTAGTGAACTCTCAACCCATCAGGTACTGAAGACAAAACTGAAGACAAAGCGACCCACAAAAAGGGTGGAACAGCTAAAGGTGAGAAACGCCCAGAAAGTTGAAACTCAACCAAGTGATGTCTTCAGTCTCAGCTGACTGCAGGTTTCCCCAAAATAACCTAGCTACAGCTACTCCCTATTTATAAAAACACTTTTTTATGTTTAATATTTCATTGTTACACATGACTTAAGAACCTGCATTTAAATAGCAGCTATGTATCGATATACAGAACAGTTATATATAACCAGCAGGAGTGCAACCTGCAGACCTGAAGGAAACCTGAAGACTTGAAATTAGGAACAAACTTAATTCATTCTGCTGAGCACACATGCATCTGTCTCAAACAATACACAATGTGCTGGGAGCATTTTTCTGTGCTATCATGGTTTCCTCTGTGCTGCCAGCAGTGAATATTACATCACTACTGTGCCCATAATCACTGAGAGGAATCTCTGCTTGGGATATGAAGCTGAATTTTAACTGAAACAAACAAACAGTCCAAGATAATAAGCATGGATGGCATGCGGTCCAGTTTTGGCTGCAGGCTGAAATAACAACGAGACTAAAAGTAAAGCTGTTCGCTGATCTCGCTGTTTCTGTTTAGAAACTCGTGAGCTCGGACTTTCCCTTCCATTTTTTAACTCTGTGCTGTTTAAGTAACACGAAGCGTTTGATCCTGTCAATCTGCAGTGCTGCGACTCTGTCCATGGTGCTGACACTCCCTTTACTTAGCCTGAAGTCAGTTTCAAAGCAGCTCTGATTCAGCGGTTTGGCAATCGTATGCGGGTTAGGGTGTTCTAATCTAGAGTTCAGTCTGAGGTCAGGTTTCGGGTGTTTTGTTGTGAAATTGGCGTGACAGCAGGTGAAAAACAACTGCGAAATAAAAAACATCTACAAGTGAAAATAGGAAACACATGTAAGAGTAACAGCACAACAGCTTCTTAAACCCTCTGAACTTTATATTCAAATACATAAACATGCATCATTTGTAACTCTGTGTGTGGATTAGACCTTCAGGCATGTTTGTTAGAGTTAGATACGCAGAGAGGCATGTTTATGTCACTGCGTACGTTCGTCCTCATGCTTTTATATTCATCTTTATTTCAGTATAAACTGGTTTCCTTTTTTGTTTAATATTGTTTTTATCCCCTTTTCATTTTCTATTACAACTTTAACTGGCTTTGATTTTTTACTTATTGCTTCTATAGTATGTTTATTTATAAGGGTGTGTTTATTAAAATTGAAATCTTGCATAGTCGTGTCAGTTAAACTTGTTTTGCCTTAATGTTTGTCTTTCTAATCTAATTTGCCTTCTGAGAATCATGTTTTTTGCTCGTCTGCCAAAGGTGCTGTGAAAACTCATGAGTTACACGTCACCAGTACCAGGTTGGAGCTCCTTTTGCCTTCTGAACTGCTTTAATTCTTCGTGGCTAAGCTTCAACAAATTGCTGAACACATCTGCGGCTGTGACTGTGGAGGCCCTTTGAGTACAAAAGGTTGTTAGATATCTTCATCTGTTGAGCCAGTGTGAGTTGTAGCCTCAGTTTCCTATTTATAGGTGGCAGGAATGCATCCAGCGTGGTCTTCTGCTGCTGCAGCCCATCTGCTTCAAGGTTTGATGCTCTTCTCCTTACCTAAGTTGCAATAAGTGGTTATTTGTGTTGAGCTTGAAGCAGCCTGATTCTCATCTGAACCCTGTGATCAACAAAGCTGCTCACCAGATATTTTCTCTTTTTCAGCCCTTTCTCTTTAACCCCTATTGATGGTTGTGTGGGAATACCCCAGCACCAACAACCATGCCACATTCAAGGTCACTGAAATCAACTTTATTCTTAATGTTGATTCCAGGTTTGTGCCTAAGTGCTTTTCTGCCATGTGATTGGCTGATTGGGGAACTCATTAAACTGCTCACAGAAACTGAAACTTTGAACAGCTGCAGTTACAGTAACAAACAAACTGGACAAACAGAGTCTTCTCAGGAATGTCATTCAATGTGATCAAGACATTTGAAATAACAAATCAGCAAACCTTCTGCTTGATTGATGGGTTTGCATTTAAACTCTCCAAACTGTACATTGACACCACAATAAAAGGAAGAAGCAAAGAACAGAATAAAATCCAAAAATCTGCTTTTATTTTTGTTTTTATTGTTGCCTTGCTGGAGTTCATTGGATCAGATCTCTGTGTGAAATGATTCACCACTGTGGTGACTTTGGGTTTATGACATAAAGCTGCTGCTGCCCTACATATGAGTTCAAGCTAATACTGAGAGCCTGAATGTAAGCATTTTATTGGGATTTCAAGAAACGGTTGACTCATTTTGTCCTCTCACATATGTTTGAAGTTTCCTGTTATCAGCAGATGTTTTATGAGATATCAGTACATGTCCGCGTGTGTGTGCTGAGCAGTGAGTTTCAAATGTGTAATGATGCAGGACTAAACTTTTGATGCTCTCACGATGAAAGGAAAAACTTGAGACTGTTTTTTCTTATCTATCATTTGCTCTTCACCCTTTTTTCTTCACTCCTTTCCATGTCTGACTCGCGAGTCATGTGATTCTCCTCCGCTAGGCGGCAGCATTAAGCCGCTGTCTGAGAGCAAGAGGGGAAAGACCCGATGAAAGAAAGGAGAAATGAGAGTTTGGCTCTGTGAGTCTCGGTCTGGAGTGCAGGTTTCGGAGATGAAGAAAGGAGGGGAAAGGGTGAAGAGAAAAGAGGATTCGTGAAAAAAAGACACAAGTGTGGTTAAAGATGCAAAGACAAAAAACAGAGTTTAAATGTGGTTTGATAAATGACATGAAACAATGAGACCGCAGAGCAAAACGCGCCCCCTCACTGTACGAATGACCTTTTGCATCCGTGCTGCGGGTCAGGGTCTCCACTCTGCCTCCGTGTTATGTAACAGGTAATGTCTGCGGACCTAATTGAAGCCAGTCATTTTCTTTGGAATGAAGCAGCTCCCGCAACCCACCCCGCCCCCCAATCCTCGCGCTCCTGCGTGTCATTGATGAAACTGTATTCTGGGGGCTCAAGAAAGAGATAAACCACCCGGCGCTCAATTTTAAAAGGTCAGCTGAGTGAGCGGGATTAAATCATTGTTACGCGGGAGACATGAGACTAGATGAGGTGCGTGTTGGGAAGATGTGCAGCAACTTTAACTCTGAGATGAGGCAAGGAAAGGACACAACACGGAGAGAGACGCGAGGAGAATAAGGGTTTAGTTGGAGTGCGAACATTCCCAGTATTCCCAGTCCTAAACTTGAACTCATTTCTTTACAAACACTGAGAGAAATCAGAGAAAGTAAGGGAACAAGTTTAATAAAAAAAATATCAGGGAAGAAACAGACAGAACCTAATCTGTCACTCTGATGAAGCGCGCGGGATGTGCGTAGAATATGGGATGGATAAAGGGATGTTCTGTAAATAAAGTCAGCATAAATCAGATCCACGCTGTTTACATCAGTTCTGTTTGACACTAAAACACCTGAGAGCTCAGTGATTCAAGTTTTGACATGCGCAACAGAAAGAAACAAGAAGCTCGCTCCAGACAGCCTGCGCGTAAAGACGCGTCTCAGAGTAAACACGCAGCTGAGAATCACGTTTTAAAACAAACGCGACATGATCTGTTAGAAACACAAAGAGGTCTCATCAGTCCTGATGCAGGTGACTCGTACTATAGTGCGCACGTCCTGCACGGAGACACAAGTCAGAACTGCGAGCCTTGTTCCCCCCTCTCTCACTTTTCCTCCCGTTGGCACCCCGCCAGGTCCAGCACGCTCCGAGCCTCTTCTCCTCTTGCGCCGCTTGCTGCTCACTTTACACCACCCCTTCTCCTGAGAGGGGAGAGAGAGAGAGAGTGGGAGGGAGGATGGAGAAGGGGGTGCCCCCGAAAGAGGTGGAGCCGAGCGGAGGGAGGGAGCAGGGGAGTCTCTCTGCCGACGCTGGAGTGAGGTAGAGTTGGGTTGGAGGGGGGCGACGGGAGCCCTTGGCCGCCTATTCGCCTTCCAGTTGCCTCCACGCTATATAAACACTCATTGGTGCCTCTGGCTTGACGCACACACACTCCTTGCGCACGCATGCACAATACACACACTGAGGGTGACTTGTATAGGCAGCCAGAGAGCGAGAGAGAGAGAGGAGAGAGAGCGCTCTGAGAAACAGAAAGGTACACAGAGAGGAGAGTGGACGTCAGAAAGTAAGAGAAAGAGAAGGAGGACGGCAGCTCCTGAGCATCTCCTGCGCACCCACGCATCCCTGTACGCTCACGGATCTTAAACATTTCTACTCCTCGTGTTTGCGCCACAGAGACGTGACTTTTTAATGCAAAGACGCCTTTTGATTTTCTCTTTAAAAATTATTTGAAGGAGACGCGATTCCTGGAAGAGTTTTCGTTTATTTTTTTCCTCTCTCACCTTAAACCAACTCTTTCCATCCCTCGAGAAGTTTTAAAAAGTAAAAAGCCCTCGTCAGTTCCAGGGCTCGGCTTCACTTTTTCCACGTGTCCCCGGGAGTCCCGGCGTTTGAAATACACGTGTCACCTTAGAGATCATTTTTTTCTTTTTCTTTCTTCAGCAATTTTTTCCATCTCCCTTTTTTATTTTAATTTTTAGTCAGTAATTCACAAACGAGACTAAAAATGATATTTCAAACATCAGGACAGACCCCAGCCAAGAGAATTCCGTGTCCTAAATGTTTCAATCATTAAAACAAAGCGAGTTTTAATAGTTTCACTTTCCCCCCCACACTTCATAAGCTGAGGCGTGATCCTGAAGACGCGGGGAGCTCACCTGTAGCGTCTCTGCCCAGTTCAGCCGAGCCTGATTCGCACCTCTGAGGCACAGAGACGCCACTTTGTGACTGTTTTAAAACACAGACCCACGAAATCAGAAAGGAACTTTACACACTTCATTCATTCTCAGAGCAGAGCAGCCGCTGCCTCCTGACACCTCCAGCGCGCGTAAAAAGAGCGCTGCGCTATTTTACGCAAAAAAGAACTTTGAAAGTTTGACGAAGATTTACTTTGCCCCCTTTTTGGAGCACAAAAGTTTCAGCGCATCTTTCTCCAAAGTTTCTGAAAGTCGACCCCAGTTCCGCAGAGATCACCGGGCTCTCCATCACCATGCTGTTCGACACTTTCGACATCGTCTCCGCTCTGGCCACTCTGGCCGCTTGCCTGGTGTCCATGGCCCTGCTCCTCGCCGTGTCCCAGCAACTGTGGCAGCTCCGTTGGACGGCCACGCGGGATAAAAACTGCAAGCTGCCCATGCCGAAAGGATCCATGGGCTTCCCCTTCATCGGCGAGACCTGCCACTGGCTCCTGCAGGTAAGAGCGCACTCTGGGCAGGGAGCGAGGGAGGGAGGGAGAGGGGATGAGTTTGGTGGAGGGAGACAGAATCTGGGTCAGCGCCGGTCTCCGTGTCTGTGAGGTGATATCAGTCTCATCTAATTATTTATTCCTCCCCAAAGATCGTTTTGCGCTTTTTTTATTGACATCTTTAGTAATTTGTGCAAACATCTGCGCCGTTTTTTTTACCAGCCACATTTTTGTTGTTTGCAAAAGGAGAAAACTCATTTAAAAAACACCAGAGCGCAACTTTTTTGTTTTGTTTTTAAAGCCTCACACTCGTTCTTTTATAGCCTTTGTTAATTGGACTCCATATCCCATAATGCACAATGTTACATTAACTCAGAAACTCATAAATATCGAGATTCTAAAACAAAAAAACCCAACAAAACGGATCTGCTGCTTCATCTCCATCCTGCGCGAATGGGATGCACAGTGAACACGCACACACAGAGGAGAATCAAAGAGTTTCGCTTCATCTTTTATTAGTTTACAGCCCTGTAATATCTCTCCCCGCACTCCAGCGGTGGCTCGCACAGACTCTTCTTTCCCCTCATTATCTCACACAGGAGCGCATCAGCCAGTCGCGGCGCGACGTCACAGTCTATTGATCACATCTGATACGGTCCAGGCTGAGCCGTGGGGACTCATGTCTCTGACGGAGAAGGAGGACACTCGTGTCCACAAAGAGATTCTGTTTTGTGCTGATTGTTGGGAGAAGGAATGGGAAAAGGGAAGTTCTGTGTGAAAGGGTTAAATCGAGGGTAAAGTGCAGTCTCTGGACACGCTCTCCTCCTCCTCCTTTTCTTCTTCTTTTTTAAAATCTTGGTTGCATTCAGAAAGGTTCCCGACACGCCGCGTTTTCAGTAGATTGGTCAGAGATTCCTGCAGAAAAAAGGAAAGCCCTGCACCATGCGTAGTATTGATCCAGCTTACCGAAGGTTCGCTTAATCGGTGAGATGCTTCACAGTCTAACCCCCCCCAGCATCCACCCTTATCAATAAAATTTGCAGATAATCTTAATGTTTGAGGCTAAAAACGAGACAGTTGGACCAGTGAGTGTTAGGAGATCAGGGTGCACATGAGTGCCGCTACTGAGGACTCCCGGGAGCGCGCCAGCTGAGGGGACAGCTAATAAAACAGAGAGAAGAAGAAGAGAGACAGGAGGGAAAGGGAAGCCAGGCTCGACGAGCGGAGGCACGTTGGCCGCGTGCGGGGCTTGAACTCGCGGTGCTCCTCTGCGTTACATCTGACACCGAGCGAGACGCGTTCCCGGAATGCAAGCGGGAACCACGGCCAAGTTTATGGTGAGGGGAGGGGGGAGGCATGTCAGTCAGAAGGAGGAATAAGAGGCTGTCTGTACTTATGAGGACCCCGCGTCCCCACAAGCAGGGCTCAGACCTGATTTATAACCTTAAAGTGAAGTTTTAGAACAGCGCAGTCAGGAGAGGTGGGCGCGTCGATCCTAATATCAATCGTATGCTGGTATTGGTTTAGGATCATTCTTGTGTTGCCTGTCATGCCCGTTTCATTTATAGCTTATAGCACATTTAAAGAACAGAAGTTGAGCCAAAGTGCTTCATAGGCAGGCACATTTACATTCAAGAAACACCAAATGCTGAAAGTTGTGTTTTGTTGTGTTAACTAATTATTGTGGAGAGTAAGAATCAGAGTGATTTTTTGGTTGGTAACAAGTGTTCGGAATTTGCAAATTTTTTACTATTCATCTCATAAATCATGACTCGCTGCTCTCCTCTACGTGAGCTGCCTTCATCAAGTAGTAGTATCGGCACTGGAACCAGTAATACTTGTCCTGTGTTTACAGTAGCAGCCAGTGTACCAGGAGCCATTACAGACATGGTTTTGATTATAAGAAAAAGAAAGAAGGTGCATGCACTACAGTCTGTCTGTGTCCCGTGTCCAGTCCAAAGACTGTAGATAGAAGATGGATGTCTGTGACATCACTCACTGGCTGGTGAAATCCTGTCTGGAAGCCTCAGGTTGAGCCCGTCTCCAAGCCACAGGAGACTATACCACACCCATGCGCTAAGGAAGCCACGCCCCCAAGCATATTTTTCTCTAAATGGGAGCATAACGACACAACAAAGGCTGCACTGACGATGATTTGAAATGAACAATGAGATCATAAACTGCCCAGGAAAACGCTTAGTGAGGTCCCGGCCTGAAGAAGCACTAGCACTGTTTTCCTATAGGTTTAATTAAAACTGACTTTGCCCCCTGCTGGCCATCAGACATAAAGCTGGCTTGCGGAGGTTGACTTTGTGCTACTCAGAACATTTTTGGGGGACTGCGTTACTGCGATGTAGTTTTTTGTTTTGCTCTTCTTCCTCCTACAGATCAACCATACTTGTTGTGGTCATCTTCCTTCTACCAATCAGAGTCTGAGCTATGTGCGGCATCATCATCCAGAACTTCCTTCCTGTTTCAATGTTTGGTTTCTTTTTAAAGACTCAACTTTCTTTTTTTTGATCACTTGGGATCATAAGAACCAATTCATGCAGAGCAGAAGCAGCATTTGCAGGTTCTGAGCATTCTGTGTTAGCTCTGTCGTCGGTCGCTGCCCACTCCTCACACTTTAGCTACACACACAGTCACCATTTGGTAAATCTGCCTGTCTGCTGCTGAATTTTTTTTCTCACTATGAGAGCGTAAAAACAGTGAAGTTATGCGCATACACACATATACACATGGTATATTTTTACCCTGCACACACACGCAGCAGCACATTTCTGTGACGGATCCATTTTAAAACAATCTGCAGTTAGAAATAGTTCTGTGGTCACTCTGCCAGAGCCCTGTCTGCTCTCATTAGGAGCCTGAGCTTTCTGGAGCTACGGTGCCAAGCAGGAGCGCTACTGAGGCTTCACACACACACAAACACACATACAGGCACACAGAAATAATGTACTAATCTTTTTGCACATAGACATAAATGTTTGCCTATGCACACACATATATGAAGAGAAAACATGGTACAAAAACCATAAGTGCATGTTGATTCTGAGTTACCTTTAAACATATAATTTATAACAAACTTTTATTTTTGAGTGAAGCTGTACGGCCGTAGACTTGTAGCATTTTTGTCTCACGTTAGATGATCTGGATACTTTGTTTTAATCACTCCACTCCTCACAATTTTTGCTGGATGCAAATGATCCCATTTCATCTTTTAAAGTTTTTTCTGAAATATTGTACGCATGTTGCTGGGATTCTACTTGGTTGAAGTTCGTTAACAGTTACCTTCCACGACCACTAGGGGTCACCACACCACAAGGATCCCAAGAAAATATTTTGGTAGCTAAGAAGTGAATTCAAAAACATCGGAAACACCGATAAGTCGAACCAATGAAGTTTTTTAAATACATTTTTTTCCTCCTTTGACAAAACAAATCTACTGTTGCTAGGTAACCAGGTAAACCTTTCTTCTTTTTTTCATGCAGTTTCTTTGGGTCGGAGCCTCATAACTTTTTCACACACACACAAACAAACCACACAAACATGTACGTGGAGCAGCCTCGCTGGACTGAATCTGGGTCAGATGAGAAGAAATGAACACGAGGCTCACACACACAGAGTGGAAGGTCCAAATGTTTTGTGTCGTCATTTTTGGCTTGCATAATTGGTCAAAAATAGCAACCAGCAGCTCAGATGGAGCTACATCAACTCACACACACACACACACACACGAGGTACCCTCTGCCTGCCTTCTTCTGTCTATTTGGCTGTGATGAAGTGTAAATGACGGTGGCCAGAGTAATAACAATCCTGCAGCCCAAACACTCTCTCGCGGCTCACAGTGACGGCAGCCTCCCTCCTTTTACAGCTTGCGCCTTCTTCTTCTTCTGCACCTGCACTGTTGTCTTCTTCTATGGTGGTACGGCTACAGATCCTCGGCAGGTGATGGCTGTTTCTGTTGATGGTATTTGGTGTCATCAGGTGTTTGTGTTCTTTGATGACTTGAACCCAACCTTTTCATATAGTCAACTTTTACAACATCCCAAACAGCCTTTAAAGGCAACTTTTAATTCTTGTTTGCAGATAAATGCAGGAAAAAGCCACCAAAATTGAGAAGTGTTCATCAGCCGTGCAGAGTTGGCAGGTTTGACTAACAAGGCTACTTTAGTTTCTTCCTCACAGCCCAAACACGTGCACGTTTGGGTTTACCGGTCATTCCTAAATGGTCCTAAATGTTGACCCTGCGACGGACTGGCGACCTATCTGGGGTTTATCTCGCTTTGGCTTCGTCTGGCAACCCTCACCTGGATAAGCGCTTAAGAAGCTACATGGATGACACTGATGCTCGGTCAGGCCCATATTGTCTCACTGCAGCCCGCTGTGCAGCGTTTTTCAGTGTGCCAGCATACCCTTTGGCTTGGTGAGGACAAATAAGTAAATCCAGAATCTGAAGTAGGAGGTGGATGTGGAGGAAAACCTTCAGAATGACGAAGCATCACTGGGCAAGATACTGAGTTTCCACTGATGCATTCATCAGAATGTGAGTGTGAAAGGATGAATGAAGGCTGTAGTAAGAAAGCGCTTTGGTAAATGGACTGATTCATATGCAGTGCTTCTCTGTTCTACCTGAGCACTCAAAGCCCTTTGTACAACATGCCTCATTCACCAATTCGTACAAGCACTTTTTTCATTTTTTTCTAGAGCAACCTGTTACCTTACTTAAGGATGTTTCAGCATATCTAGACATGGATCGAACCGCCAACCTTCCAATTAGCAGATGACCTGGTTTTACCTCCTGAGCTGCAGCCAATCCCAAACAGAGCAGAAAAGAACTATCGTCTAACGTCTAACTAACGTCAGCATGTAAGGAGCTGGAAGTGAGGACGCACAACATGCAAGAAAAAACACTGGATTTAAAAAAAATCAAATGCAATGAAACTTAAAAAAAGATTGTTGTTAAAAAACAATGTTTCCTAAACTTTTTTAAAATTGGGAACAATTGT